CTAAGAAATATCTCTTTTTAAAAGATGCTTTCACTTAACCTTCATATGCTTCCAAAAGTTCATTTTGATATAAACTACCCTGTATACTGTTTAATTTACCTAATACTGAAATATTAGCTAGAACACTCGTTACATTGTGTTTGAACTATAGAAGAAAACTGAAAAAAGTCCAAGAATTTTACCATCTTTTGGGTCTCAGGAGTCGGAGCGGCGGTTGAGCAACCGTCCGAACTTAGAAAACTTCTCTTTCACCCCTCTAATTTGATTGGCCTATGTATCATAACTATGACTAAGGGTGTCACAATATAAAAAACTGAGAATAAAAAGAAATATCTTCAATTTCATTGTCCCTTGTCAGTGTTTTTAAATTATGTAGGTTAAAATTTAATATCATATTTTATTGCCAGAATATTCGTCATACGAATGTCAGTCGAGTTCCACTTAAAAGCCTTTTTTATTAAAGGAAAAGCTTAAAAGGAACTCTCCGAAGAACGGTTTCATAAATCTTACGTAAATCCTTCTAGATAAAAATAGCATAAATTGAACTTAAAATTTCATTAATATCTCTAACAAAGACTAGTAAAGATCTATGAATCATAGACAGAAAAATTATGAAAATTTTATTTCAGAAACGAAAAATATCTACAAGGTCAAAAAATACAAAGAATTAAGAAAAACACTATTTAAAATATTTAAATTCAACTATTCGAAAACACTTTAGTTTTTTTAAAACAGATACGTCTACAAAAACCGTTGACGTTCTGTTAAAATGGCGTTATATCAAGTTAAAGTTCAAAATAACAATTACTTAATAAGGTAAAACCAAAAAGCCCCAAACTTTCTGTATGATTATTTTTAAATTTTGCGTATGTTATGTTTATTTATGTTATGTTCTTTAAAATCAAAGAAGCGATTGCCATATTACTAAGATCTACAGACGCATGAGCAATACATTTATTTTTATTAGATTGTATTAAAAAAGGCTTTTTTATTTTTCTTTGAGAGGCTATCGCTTTTTTCATTATAATTTTGGCGTTATTATATATTTTTTTAATAACGCCAAAATTGGTACCAAACTTCCTGATTTTCCCTAGCGGCATCATGTAAAGCAGGTAAAATATGATTTTCGAGTAGTTCCAAATAATATTCTGCATTTAAATTTCGCGTAAGAAATAATTGCCCGATAATATTGTGTCCGAATATCCCTGCCCAAACATTTACTCTCTGTGGATATTGCGTCCTTGTTTCGACAAACCTATGTTGGTTTTCTTTGTTCCAATATCGATAATTTTGAACATCTGGTTCATTATTTAAGGTAAACGTGCATTCGTCAGTGAAACATATGTTTTTTAAAATTCCCTATCCGTGTTTGCTCTTTCCATCATATCAAAACAAAACGCCTGCCGCCGTATTTCGTCCCCATCTCGTATTTATGTTGTTTCAAAATTCGAAACGCTGTAGTGTGATCTATTCCTATTTTATCCTCAAGTTTCCTTGTGCTGATCTTTCCATCGTTCTCTTCCACGCACAATAAAACTTCCAAGTCGATATCATTTCTTGCATCTTCTCTTTGTTCCTGCCTTGCTTCACATTTGTAGTTATTTATTATGGTACCTTTGGTCTCAAATCTCTGGATATTCCGAACGATTGAAGATTTTCCAGGTATCGGTCTATTCGGATACATAGCAGCAAACATGTCCGACACTTTTGGTAACTATTTCCTTGATAATACTATTTAATCATCAATACTTTTTCTTCGGTAGTGTAATTCATGGCTAATATTTTTGATGTGGGTATGGTTTTTAATAATAATAATAAAGCACTAAATAGATAAATTTCTGAAATGACAACTTCATTTGACAGTTATCTTTTACCTTGACTGGTGCTCATAAGTAAATACAGGGCCATAAGAAAGGAGAAATATTTAAAAAGAAATCGGCGATAACTCGTAAACGGGCTGATCAAAAATATCTAAAGTTATTCTTTTGAGTGTGGGTTTTAGTGCTCTTCGATAAACCTAAATAGAATTATTCTTATGTTATGATTTCCGCTCGACGATGCAACACCCGGTATGTATGAAAATTGGAGTCTGGTTGTTTTTTTGATTTGTTATATGAAAAATTTGATTTTGATGTTAGTACAACTCCTACTTGTAGAGGGCGCCACTTGCATATTTTTGAACTGTTTGGTTGTGTAGTAATTTTTCTCCGTGCCTGTATTACAATATACCGAGGTCACTTAAAAAGATCCCTTTGTAAAAATCGCAATGAGCAACCGTCCTTAAGATATTTAAAATACACACACCGGAAAAGTCTAGGGATATTACAATTTTATCCAGCCAGTGTCAGTAATTTTATTATTTGCATTTCTGATATAATAAAATTAAAATAAACAAATAGTTTACAGGACGTATTGGAAATAAAAATGCGAAATTTACCGAATTTTTCAAATTTACCTTGATTTTTATTGAACTCAAAAAAATACACACATTTTTTTTTAAATTTTAAACTGTGAATTAAAGATAAAACCGTTTTTACTTAATAAAGGGTATGGCCTCCTCTACTGTTCATTACAGCCCTACATCGGCATCGTCTCTCCATGCTCCTGATCAGGTTGTCGATCTCTTCTTGAGGTACAGCCTGCCACGCTGCATTCACGGTCCGAACCAGATCCCTACGAGTTTCACGAGGCATACCCATTCTTAAAATTCTTCTTTGGACCGCGTCCCATACGTGCTCGATGGGGTTGAGGTCAAGAGATTGTGCCGGCCAGGGTAAGATGTTTAATTGATGAGCATTGATAAACTCACTTACCGCTCTGGCTGTATGAGGCCGTGCATTGTCATGCATGAGAATGAAGTTTCTCCCAAAATCATTTGCATAAAATGGTAACACGACAGGCTCAAGAATTAAATCACGATATGTGATTCCTGTTAGAAACCTTTCAAGAAAAACGAGATCGGTTTTTCGGCCTAACTGGACTCCTCCCCAGACCATAACTGTTCCATCTTGATAAGGGTGCACTTCCTGAACATGATCCAACCGAATAAGATTTCCCGGTTGTCTCCATACCCTAAGCCTTCTCGAATCCGGATGAATTCCAAAGCGTGACTCATCCGTGAAGAGAACATTGACCCATTTGTCTCCAGGAGCGTCTGCTTCTTAAGTTGACCTCTCTTAGTCTATTGCGAACAGTGTCACGACTAACGGTTACATTATGTGTTTCCTGGAAAATTAAACTAAGCTCTGGTGCTGTAAGAATCGGTCGGCGTCGAGCATTTAATTGTAAAAAATGATCTTGCTGAGGGGTAGTAATGCGATGTCGCCTTGTGTGTCTTTCTGCAACATCACCACTTTCACGGTAGCGTGCACTTAATCGCGATATTACACTTTGCGTTGTATTTAATGCTCTAGCTACGTTGATTTGGCGTATTCCAGCTTCAAGCATAACCATGGCCCTTAGCATTTCGTCTCTGTTAAGATGTCTACGCTCCATAATGTCGTTTAATAATAAACAGAGTTATTTGAATGAATTCTGGCCAGTTATCATAAAAACATAGCCAGTACAGGTTAAATTCGAACAATTGATGCTAGATGCTTTTTCTACATTTGACAAAAAATGCACAAACACTTCTGCAAATATCCCAAATTTAGAAATAACTAGTGTGACTACTTCGTTTCAATCGAAGTAGAAAGAATCGGCCTACAAATATGTGGTTGTTTATTCAAAACATTTACTTTTAACTTTAATAAAATAATATCCCTAGATTTTTCCGGTGTGTGTAGAAATCATCAATTCATCATTGACAGAAATTAAATATTTTGACTAGTGAAGTTGACATCGAAATAAAATTTCTCGCGTTAAGAAACACCCAGACCAAAGAATACACTAAGAAACAGAGTGTAAACTGCCTTACTGAAAAATGGCTCCAAATCAGAGGCGCCATCTATTGTGCAGGGTTAGCATTAAAATACGCGCAATTACGTAATTTCACTTTAAACTATCATTTTAAATACGAAAATATCCCTAAAATTTATCTTTTACCCTAGTATTAACAATTCTAATTCGAAACATTATTATATGTTGTGTAAAAAAATAAGATTTAAAAGTAAAATTTACACATACAAAAAATAGAAATCAAATATATAAACATCATTTATTATAATAAAACAAGACCAGCGTAATGCGCCCAAAGTTTTGAAAATGAAATAAATAAATATAAATAGGTACTTAAACGATGGAAAAATAAAGACATTATATTTTAGGGCCACACAGAAACGACGCAACCGTTTTTGCTATTTCACTTTTCCTGACCCAGATATCAATTTTTATCCAAATATCAACGTTAGTTCAGAAATTATTGGGAAAAAGTCGAAATAATAATAAAACTTCTACAACCTATTACACCCTTTCATCTGCAGAATATATCGCCAAAGTTTACTGATTAGAGTAAGGGGAACACCGTGTACCAATTTTCGGCATATTATTGGAAAATACATGATTTAAAAAGTACTTTTAATTTTATTGAAACTGGTAAAAAGGGGTGTTGATCAATTTTCCATACCGCTAATTAATAATATTGTATCTCTCATTCATTTAAGTATCACATTAGTATTCAGAACCCAGTTTTAAAACTTTAAATACCCATCTTCTATTTATAAAACGAAGTGGAATCCATTTCCATTACTATTCACCTCACGATTCAGAAGAGAAAACCTAATCAAAGAAAATAAAACTTATAATAAGACTGACTTAGACATTATAATACTAATATAAGTCCAGACTTGCGACAAACAACTTTATATTTGATGTCTTCAGAAGTTTGGGAGACGCAAACGAAATTTTAATAAAATTATTTTAAAATTGTACCTTTACCTCATTATTATGACAGAAAAGATTTTGAGTTTTTTAAGAAACACATTCGAAGTAAATTTCTTCAATTAAGTAGGTATTGTTTCTATATATTTATTTTTAGCTTTTCTGTATAGTAAGTAATATAGATTTTCTTTATTCCAGGTTAATGGATCATGGGCTTTACCAGGTGTCGTTTGTGACTTCTACATTGCCATGGATGTTACATGCTCAACGTCTTCGATATTTAACTTAGTAGCAATTTCAATAGATAGGTAAGTCATTAGATTTTAACGCCTATTATTAGAAAATTGCGTAATTAGATGTTAAGGAGAATGTAGAATGTTTAAGAGGGGAGTTAATCACCTCAGCTTCAGGTCTATTGTGTGTTCCACTTTCTTGAGTTATAACGAGTTATAGTTGGTTGGTATATAGTGTAGTGACAATTTGGATGCTCAACATTAGCATCTCAGAAACTACGAGAGATACGAATTGCGTAATTAGATGTTTGATTAGATCCAGCTACAACCTAACCTAACCGATGCCGGTCCGGAATCCCTGTTTCCCTGTCAAAAGGATGTCGCTCCGGTAAATACGTTGCTGTGACCATCGGGACGCCTGTAACGACGCTGCCGCCGTTTTCGCGTAGAGTCGCGTTTCTGTAGTGTGTTGCTCGGGTACCTACCTTTCTGTGTCCAATGGGATGCCTTGAACATCGCCGCCGATCCGGGAACCGCGTCTCTGTGTATAACGGAACGTCACTTCGGGAACGCGTCTTGTGCTCGAGTGATAGAGTCAGTCAGAGAGTTGCGTATTGGGAATAATCGATCAAAACTCTAGAGGTACACGGTTGATAATGTAAATTTTGATTTACGAGATTCTAGTATTCATTTTGTTTTACTATTGTTATTGCAATTCGAGATTCGTAAACTTTTCTTTGATTACTCTTTGTATATAATTAATTTGTTAAATAAAAACTTAGTGTTACGTTATAATGAATTGTGCGGTTTATTTTCTTTTCATTTCATCACTCCCCGGTATCTCCACTGTATAAAAGCTACCCGTACTGGCACGAGTGGTCCCTTAACCACTATAAACTTTTAAGGGTGGCGCCCGAGTACCGACCAAGGCAATTCGGCGTCCGTAAGCGTTCTCAAAAAGGGAGAGAACCTTACGTTTATTTTAAATGACGATATCTTTGGAACAGAGTTTATTTTTTTTTCTTTTTCTTAAACCTTTAGAATTATATCCATATATATATATATATTTTCTCCTTTCTTGGGTATGAGGTTTTTTTTTATTAATTGAAAATGGAAACTTTTTTTGTTTTGGAACTTTGGAACTATTGTATCTATTGAAACGTAAGTTGGTAGGTTTATATTTTTGACCTGGGCCAATTTGCCGTTTTCAGAAAATTTCTAAGCCTTCTAGATTTCACACAACAGTCAAGTTATTGTTTTCTTATGGCGGCCATTTTGAATTTTTATACTATTAGATAGAGCTAAAAATAGGCTATACGGTTGAAATATGATCTGTCATTTTTGAAATAAACCAATAAAACTTATTAAAAACAACAAGAGACGACGTGTGACGGATTTATATTTAAACCCATCCATAGTTAACTTAAAAAATATTAGAAACTTTTTTTGGTAAAATAAATAGATTGGTATGGGACGTCATCTGCTTTTCTTCTGTCATCGTCTGTCGAAATCTTAGCTGAGAAATAAAACCGAGTATATTACACCATATATATATGTATGACCTATATATGTCAGCAATTTTTTTTGTTTATTATTTATTAAGTGTCAAATCTGGATACACCAAAATTGTATAGTAGAGTCCAAGAGGAGAAGTCAAAATCTCTTCCTGAAATACATCCTAATACAGACTTTAAGTTTGCACTTAAACAGAATTTCTAATTCTTATTATTCTTATTCTAGGAGCTACGTATGCCCGAAGCACTATTATTGCCGAACCCTGTATCTGTTAATTATTATATCTGACCTAGTACCTTGTTTATTTCAATTTACTGCAACTCAAATTCCAAATATTCAACTCTTAATTAAAAATTCTTTCAAAAACACACCCTAAAATATCGGTAAATTGAAAAAAAAATGGATAGTGTAATTTTGGGTTACTCGGTTATAAAGAACGGGCCAAAAACAAATACGCGTTAATAGATTAATTAATTCGCGGATAAAAATACACATTTTTACGGTTTTCTGCCGACTGATTTTTGTTTAATGCTGTCAAATATTTATCCAAAATAATTCTGTTTGTCATACAATTGAAATCAGAGGGAAAAATACTGGGCAAAAAACTGATTTAAAATTTTATATATGGTGGGTAAAAATGGCAAGGAAGTAATCAAATAAAAGTCGAGAACTTTTTATTTATTGTTGTTTACAGCTAAAACAATTATCTTTTAATTATTAGCTGCAAATTGCTTATTCTTGGCTGCAAATTGGGGCTTTAGGCTCCCGTTTGCTCCTTTTATTTTCCATCATTTATTTTCGCTTCTTCATCAATTTTTTTCCATCTCCTGGGTTGCACACGGTGCCTCGTTGCATCGTTTGCTTCCTGGTTTTTTGTGTTTTGGGATTGGTTTCATCGCTTCCTGATTCCTTACCTTACTGATGAAGCCTGCAGGCAGTTACATCAGTGTACACTAGTGTGTGTGTGGTTGTGTGAGTGTGTGAGTGTGCGTGTCTGCACTAGTGTACACTGGTGTATACGGTTACGAGTTGTTGAGGGCTGAGCCGTTTAATCTTTTTCTTCTTTTTTATACATTTCCCTCACTATTTCTTTTTTGTTCATTATCTTTGATCTTCTCAAATTAAATTCATATTCATAAAATTATTTTTATTATCAAAAAGTGTTAAAAATATGAAAAACTAGAGAAGAGAATCTTTAACGAAAATTATGGCTGTTAGATTAAAACGGGAGCTATATTTGGATTCAGGGCGCCATTTTACATAAGCAGGAGTTAGCAGCTATATTGCCGAACCTCGAGAATTTGTTTTTGCAGTCTGTTTCAAAGTTACAGAATACGGGCCCAGAGAGTAAAACGCGAATTTATAAGACCTGTATAAGACCCATACTGACTTACACTGCTGAAACAAGAGCAGAAACATCAGACATAAAAAGGAAAATGAGAACAACGGAGATGAAAATATTAGGAGCAATAAAAAGGAAACTGTTTAGCAGAATACGCAATACACACACGCTAAGGCAAGGCGCGCACCAAGGTGATAAGTAAGTGACGTGGCAGCGGCGTGGTAATCGAGTGGCAAGTGGATCTGCTAAAGCCAACTTAAAGAAATTATGTCGCGCTAATAAGAGTAGGGTGGCGTGGAGCGGTCTTTTGTAAGTGGCGTGGCATCACTCAGGTGTCACTAGTCTCCGACAAGTTTAATTTTCGACTGGCAAGCGGCTGGTAACCACATGAAGTTTAAATTGCAATTGTCTTTTCAATACGTAATTATATGATTTAAATGTTTTTTTACTGTGATCTGAAGTGTGAATTGTATTATTCTTGGTAAATGTTCTATTTTTCTGTAACAAAGGATGAACCCAATAACAATGTTTTTTTTCAATTTTTTTCAATCTCCTCTCTTTTACATACACTCTCTCTCTCGAGTTCATCCTTTCAGGCTGAAAACATTTTCGATAATAATAAAATTACTGAAAGGTAATTAATTGTACAGCTCTCGTCTACCAACCCAATGGTTGTGTGTTCGAATCCTACAGCCGACATTATTTCATCAGCCGACTATTTTTAACAAAATAAAATAGTTTAGGTACCTAGGTCGACTCAGCCTTAAACGAGTACTTGGGATTCACAATCCTGAGGTAATAATAGGTTTGTTGAATCGTCCTATTACAAGAAGAAGAAGAAGAAGAAGAAGATGCCTGACCAATAGAATTATTTATATTAAAGTAAAGTAAAGATTTCAGTTAACGTCTCCTTTTTGCTGCCAGGGCTAATCTGGACGGGGCCTTCTTTGTTTACGCGGAATCCGAACCGCGGTCCTCGGCCATATCATGGTCAGTGGCCTACCGACTTAGGAAGTGTCTAAATTAACTCTTACTCATGAGATATCCGATCTCATCCGGCCTCGAACCGGCGTGAATGAGCAGTGTGTATCAATAGATTTTACACTTTTCCCTTGGACAACAGCACAATACACAGTTTCGAACCGGTCACTCGTCCATCCACCAGTATCGCCTTACGTCGCTTAACTTATATTAGACTGTTTATAACATTAACGTTTTTTTTTTCTAAGATTTTGCAACTCGAAAGTATCAAACCACGAGCCGGCACTGATTGGATTAAGCCTAGCGACTGACTCCAAAATGGAAATTCTTAATGGAAATATATCGCGACAAATATCGCGTTCAATGTGCAGCAAATTTGCCATTTTTAGATGTCTAATGACGTAATTAGAAACGTATTTATACCTCGAAATGGAAAGATTCTCGCTGCGTTATATTCGGTAAAATGTAGCCGAGATCGAATTACCTGAAAATTACCGTTATTGTCCGGGAAATAATGACGTTCCGAAGCTAATTGCGTCGATTTTGTACGTCTCTCATTCAATTTATCGCCCATTGTTTTTTCCCTTTTCAATTTTAAATTGACTACGTACGCTCAAAGGAATAAAACTAATATTGTATGATGAGATAAAAGTGTTTTTAGGCCTGTTTCGTAAATATGTTTTCAATCATGTTAAATTGTGGCGGATAATTCAATGTGTATCATACATATAGAGGCCTTTTAACACATAGGTAAATAAAATATTCATAAATATAAAAATGAAATGACGTGTTGGTCTCGCTAAAACTAGAGAACGGCTGGATCGATTTTGCTAATTTTAGTTTTGAAATATTTGCACTATTTGCTGGGGTCCAAGGAAAGTTTAACTGGTGAGAAAATATGAAGAAATTGTACAATAAAAATGGTACACGGGCCTCGAAGAGCCTCATCTTTTCAAAATATTTTGACGGCGTTTCGTGCACTACGAAAAACCCATCATCAATGAATCAAATCAAGAAATCGTCCGATTTAAATGAAATTTGGTATTTCGATAGATTGGACCAAGGCCAATTTGACCGTGTACGACATGTAGTACTGTGACAGTTAGTTTTGACGTAAGAAACGTCAAAAGTTGATGTCGTCAGATAGCTTCCAATTTGGTGGGTAGGCTATGTGGGCAACGGTGCCCACGGTCTAACCACGGCACATAAAACAATCGGAACGCCAACTCTGCTCAGA